AAATCCGCACTTAAAATGTAAATTTTAATATTGGCGGTAGACTATCACACAGCTTTAGCCAATGATTTCACTTTATTCTATTACTATAGATGCATTTCGGTCCTTTTCTAAAAAAGGTCCCTCTTCAGTACTATAAAATACAAAAGTTTACATAAACTTTTTTTGCAAGTAAATATTTAACATAACAATAAATATTTTAGTATTACAATACCATTTGAGTACACAGTTTTATTTATACATCCCTTTAGCACTTTCATCCTGAGCGCATTAAATCATTTTTATTTATGTCTTGCTGTAACAAATTTTACTCTATATTAGATCTAACAATTATACTCAATAAAACCTTTAAAAAACTACAAAATTCTAAAAATCTATCTAAAAAAGATTTAAAAAATACAGATGTAGAACAATAGAACCCCTAAATTAAATATCCGCCTAAAAACACACAAACAATTAGAACAATATAGACCTTTAGTAGACTTTCGTCATTCAATTTTGTATAACTTAGAAATGTATATTAAAAAACAATTGAATCATATTAATAACTCTGATAGTAGCATTAAGAATACCGATGAAATAATTAATGCTTTTTACAAGTTTAAATTACAAAGTACAGATACTATGATGAGTTTAGACGTTAAAAATATGTATCCTAATATAAAATGGGAACTAGTAGAACAAAGTATAATAAATAATGATGTTACACCAGAGTTAACCAAATTAATCAAATTTGCATATAATAATAATTACTTTAGTATAAACAATGAATATTACAAACAGATAGACGGTATTAGTATGGGGTCAAGGATGGGGCCAAAACTTGCAGAATTAACTATGAAAAAAATTGACAAAAAAATACAAAACATACAAGGTATTAGAATGGTAAAACGTTACGTTGATGATTATTTAATAATATATAATAATAAAATAACAAATGAAAATGAAATTTTAAAAATAGTAAATAAAATAAATCATAATATAATCTTTGAAATGGAATTAGAGAAAAATAAAAGAATTAATTACTTAGACATAACAATAATAAAAGGAAAAGAAAAATATTTATTTACAACATATAAAAAATTACCTAACATTGAAAAAACTATGAATTATTATTCGAGTACCCCAATTAATATAAAAAAGAACGTCTATATAATGGAAATAAGGAAAATATACAGTAGAGTTACTGATAACAACGACCAAAGAATTGCAATTAATAAACTTAATCAGAAATTCGCCCTTAATAATTACCCCAACTATATATTAAAAAAATGGTACAATAATTGGGAGAAAAATAAATTTAATACTAAACAAAATAAAAAACAACATTACAGTAAGTTTCCTTATGTAGACAATATTTATAATGATTGTGTTAAGAATTTAAAAAATGAAAACGTTGTTTTGGCCCCGTCCTTGACAAATAAACTTTTCCACAATATTAAAATGAAAACTAATTTAGATAAAATTGATAAAAAAGACAAAATAGGAACTATATACAAAATAAATTGTAAATGTAATAAATCGGAAACTTATATCGGCGAAACAGGCCGTAAATTGGAAAAACGCATTAAAGAGCATGAAGCCGCCATTCGATTAAAAAATAGTAACTCTCCATGGTATAACCATGTAATACAAAA